AAAAAACTGTTGTTCCAGTTTGTTTAACAGTTAACAGTAGTTTTTCTGTTCAGTAGAAAAGTAATCACTACTTTGAACTAAAAATAAAAATAATTCACAAGTTTACTTTATATGTTTGTCTGGTATAACATTTGCTGCTGTTGATTCATTTGAAAAAAATATTTTTTATGTAATTGCAATTTAGATAACAAAATTGGCAGTTGAATTTAAAAACCATACAAAAGTTTTTTGAAACACAAAACTTGACTACTAAATTATGCAAGTGTTTTTTTCCAATTCGGTTTTTAAAGTACTGATCTTTTGTAGATCATTTGTCATTAGTGCTTGGCTTGCTGTAAACTATCTACTTTGTATTTAGTCTGAAAACACAATGCTTTAAAAAATATTGCATTTTAAGTAGAAAAAATGTGAGCGCATTTATATTTAATTGTTGTTTAATTTTTTTTTGTTTTAAACCAACAAATATGACGTCAAATTTTTTTTTCATTTTAAGCAAGTTATAAAAAATGTAACCTCATTAATAAAATTTTTACATATTTGAAAACTGTAACATAATTTAATTAACAGTACAAAATTAAACAATGCTCACGATATCTCGGTTACTCAGGTGTGCAATTTATTGTTAGTTTTTTATTACCTGAAATTAATTGGAAATTAATTGCCGCAATTTGTTTTGGGGTTGTGCAAAAAAGTATTTGGGCTAAGCACACACACACATTAATGCATCGTACAGTTTTAGCACTAAAAATTAAAGATAATCAGCTCCTCTTGTGCGGGCGAACTAGTGATTGACAAATAGAAAATTTGGTCAACTTTTCAAGCAAAGGCCAAACACTGAACAAAGTGAGGAGGAGGGAGCAGTGATAAAGCTTGCAATCATCTCTGTCACACCACCAACCTCAGCTGATAATCATCACTCAATCAATTGAAGGCTGAAAACTGTGCCGTGCGACTTTTATGTGCGCGGATAGAGCAAACAGAAAGCGGAACAGAAAGTAGTGTGCAACACTGATTGTAGACTTTGTTTGCAAACCAGGGAGCCTCACATAGTGTTGTGCCAGAAAAAAAGCGGCACACTTTTTTACAGTCAGTTCTTGTCATGAACTGGTGAGATGGTGATGGTGATTGTCTGATGAGCTTTGGTGATGGTGCTAGTGCCGCTTGTGATCCTTTTTCGTCTTTGCTTTTGCCGTTTTATCTTTTCTACTAAAATCTATTGGTTTTTGCATCAAAACTGGCAACAACTGGCAGTGAAAGTGGAAACAAAAATAGATTTCACTTTTTTGTTTTTATTTTTTTATGTTAACTATTTAAACTTCCCGCTTTTCTGATTACCGATCACTCCTAACATTGAAACTGCACTGCACTTCAAACTACCACCACCACCACCACTACTAACAGCAAAAATGGTGGTCATTGAGCCACTTGACGATGAGTGCCGAGAAGACTCCGTCACAACGGGCCCAGCGGGACGCTCAAAGCGAAACTCTTCGCTGACTGAGAGTCAAGATGATGCTAATGGCAATCGGAAAAGTTCAGACAAAAAAACTCCACAGGTAGTTGATGATGAGGACGACCTGCAGATTACCAGCTGCGGCATCGGCTCCTGGCGACCGGAGTGGATGCAGGTGCTGGCCAACACCAAGCTCTTCCTCATCAACATCTGCCTGATTGGCGTCGTCCAGTCGATGGCCGGCTCGGTGCAGTTTACGGTGATGAACACGCTGGAGAAGCGATTCGCCTTTGACTCAAAGATTTCCGGTAACTACCTGTTTTTTTCTCACTTTTAAACAAAACATCTTTTGAGAATCGATTACTAAATTTTTGTTATCTTTTGTTTTCATCTCAAGCCCTCATCAACATCGCCGACAACATCAGCGTGATGCTGCTCAGTCCAATCGTCGGTTACTACGCCGTCCGCTTCAACCGCTCCAAGCTGATCGGCACTGGCCAGCTGATCATCGCCACCTCCTGTCTCATCTCCGCCTCGCCCTACTTCATCTACGGTCCGGCGAAGCACTTCGTGGAGAGGTCTGCCCGACCAAGTGCACTTTCCCTCTTTCTGAACGTCACCTCAACTTCTTCCGCCACCACTTCCTCGGCCACCTTTTCTGGAGTAGGAGTTTGCGACACCAGTGAGGGGGCCGGTGAGCACTGCGATCAGCACAGTCGAGGCTCCACCGTCTGGCCGGCCGTCTTTCTCTTTGCCCTCGGTCAGCTGGTTCGGGGCATTGGCAATTCAGTGTACTACATCGTGGCGATGCCCTTCATGGACGACAATGTTCCCAAGAAGTCCAGTCCGGTTAGTGTTCATCAATAGTGCTCATTAGTTATGAGTATTCTTTTTCAAACTTTATTTGATTGAAGTTTTGTTTGCTTTTCCCTACTACTACTACTACTAGATGTACATTGCCATCATGCAGACGGTGATGCTGATTGGACCCGGCCTAGGACTGGTGCTCTTCTCCTTCTGCCTCAAACTGAACGAGGATCCCTGGTGTAAGTTTAGTGTTACATGGTCTGGTTGAGCTTTCTTGGTTTCAAATCTAAACATCGACTTTTGTGTCTTTCATTAAAACAGTCGATCCTGGCTTCGACCGCGCCGACCCTCGCTTCATCGGCGCCTACTGGCTCTGCTACCTGGTGGTGGTGGTCCTCATACTGCTCATCGCCTCGCCCGTCTTCCTCTTCCCCGGCCGCTTCAAGGGCGCCACCGTGAAGGGCGAGGGGATCAGCAAGCAGCTGACGGCGAGCGGCGGCGCCCGCCAGGCCCTGCGCCGCTTCCTCAGCAATCCCCTCATACTGCTGTTCGTGCTGGGCAATGCCACCCGCTACTCGGGCATCATCGGCTTCTACATGTTCTACCTGAAGTACCTGGAGACGACCTATCGCATCAGCGCCGCCGCCACCAGCCGCTACCTGGGCGTCGCCAGCCTCCTCCCGATGGCCATTGGCATGCTCTGCGGCGGCTGTATTCTCACCCGCTTCAAGCCAAAGGCGAAGGCCTTCTTCATCTTCATCTTCCTCGTGGAGTTCGTGTCGGTGTTCACGCTGGGCAGCGGCCTCTTCCTCTCCTGTGATCCGATTCGCCTGCGAGGACAGTCGGTGGAGGACACCGGCGCTGGCATGTAAGCTGTGCAAACAAGCTGTTCAAAATAGTCAACTCTGATCATTAACTGCTTTGCACCCCCTTTTTGCAATCTAAATTAGATACGCCCTAAATGAGAGCTGCAACGCCGACTGCCACTGTACGACACGCGTCTTCAGCCCCCTCTGCGACCGCTCCACCGGAACTACCTACTTCTCGCCCTGTCACGCCGGCTGTACTAGCAGCTTTAACTCTACCCTAAGCAGTGACGGAGTGGCCAGCACCATCTACCGAAACTGTTCCTGTCTCGCCTCATCACTTCTCCCCCTTATCAACTCATCAACGCAAAGCAATCAATCTAGTCTGTCACAATCTAGCGTGTCATCGTTTCTGGCCGAGGCGATCAGCGGCTACTGTCCGGCTGATGTGGACCGCTGCTTTCCAACGCTGATCAAATTCATCGCCATCATGGTGGCGGGAAATATGATTGCGCAGACCTCAACGACCGGCAACTTTCTGATCAACTACCGAGCCGTGGAGCCGATGGACAAGTCCTTTGTCAGCGGCATCATCGGCACGCTCATCTCCCTTCTTTGTAAGTGTTTTGATTTTTGATTTTTTTTTCTAATTTTGTTTTCTTTTTTAGCATTTATTCCTGTGCCGCTGCTCTACGGACACATTGCCGACTCGTCCTGTTTGGTAATACTAACTTCAGATTCACTTAGTCATTTAGTTCTATTTATAATAAAATTAAATTTTGCTTTTTTGTTTTTTCAGGTTTGGGAACGAAAGTGCGGAAAACAGGGCAACTGCTGGGTGTACGATAATGATCGTTTCAGGAATGTTCTCTTTGGAACGACAATCATTTTTCTTTCGCTTGGTAGCTTTTTTGACTTTTTGATGATTTTCTTTTCACACCGACTGAAAAACATCTACGATGATGAAGATGACAAAACAGAGACAAATGGTGAACTAAATTCAAACATTGTTGTTGAAAAAACGGCAGATGATTTTGCAATGGACATTGTCAAAAATGAAAAGCAATAATTAAAAAAATTTTTGTATTAAGTTTTATCTCAAATGTATTGTTTGATGCACAGTAACCAAAAAATGCATAAAATGCGTTACGTAAAATACAATGTATACGTTAAATTTAAAAAAAAAGTTTTACTTGTTTTAAAATTTTTTTACATATTTAATAAATTTCAATAAAAACACAATTAAAAAATTAATGTATAAATAAATAAATTAAAATTAAATTTTATTTCAATTTGTATATTGGTTAAAGAAATTGTTGAAAAGTTTTTATAAGTATATCATGGGCTATGTTTTATACTGACGACTTGTGTTATCATCGTTGTTTGTTAAATTAGCAAAACTATGTGTAACAATATTTTTTGTCTTAGCAACAACTTAATAACTTTAAAGCCACAAAAAAAGTCAACTTCTTACAACGGGCTGATATTTGGTACAATGGCTCAGATGATTTTTCTGATAAAATTGCAACAAACAAAAAACTCAAAAGTTTTATTATCTTCAAATTGAGTTCATTTTAAAGCACTGCCGCCCTCTCTAATTTTGTAAAACAAAAATGACCGCTGACTAACTGATCACAATTTTTTGTTGAGCTCACAAAAATTGAGCAGGCGGCATTGCTCTAAAATGGACTTAATTTGAGGATCCTGGAACTTTTAAGTTTGAGAACCGAAAATTTTTTTTGTTGAATAATTATCGAAAAAATCATTTGAGCCATTGTACCAAATATCAGCCCGTTGTAGGAAGTTGACTTTAATTTGTGTCTTTGTGTAATAAATACAACGCAGTAGTTTTAATTATCAATATTACAAAATACTAACTTTTTTAAATGTGTTATCATCAAATTAAAAATTAACCTTGCCAATTAATGCTACCAATTGTGAGCTAAAAACAAACATTTTTTTGTTATACCTTTATACATTTGATCAAATATTTTATAAGTAAAAACTTTTTGCAACATTTTTTGTTTAGAAAACATTTTTTACCAATTAATTTTTGTGTTTTTAAATTTTGTTTTGTTTATGTTTAAAAACCGTTTTTTAAAATGAAAACAAAATTTTTTAAATTAAAAAATACTCAAAAAACAAGTGAACAAGTATTGCAATATGATAGTGAAGATGAAGATTACATTAACAACATAAATGTTTTTTCAAAACAATTTATTTCAGCTTATGAATTAAAAAGAAAATTGCGGAGAGATAATTTTCCTTGGTTTTTGTGGAACAATGACATTTTTGGTAACAGTTTTGTTTTGTTGTCTTCATTTGCAGTCATGAAAAACGCTTATTTTTATGAAATTGAAATGCAAAGTTTGTCTAGTTTAAGAGTAGGCTGGACAACTCGTGTGTCAGATTTTCCTCATTGTGGATTAAGTGGAAATGAACAAACGTTGGTTCTTGACTATCATCAGTGTTTCAATCCAGGCGATTTTATTGGTTGTTATGTAAATGTTGAAAAAAACACAGCAATTTTTTACATAAATGGGAATGAAATTCAGCAAACAGTAAATGAAAACTTTTTTGCTTGCACGCCTATTTTTGCTGTCTCCAATTTAATTTTTGAAAACGCAATTATAGTAAATTTTGGTCAAAAGCCTTTTAAATATCCGCCAAACAAAAAAACATTTGAGATATTTTATAAACCTGCAAGCAATTGTAATCAAAATGTTATTTTTAAACAAAAATGTTGTCCTGAATGGTTTTGTCTTTACAGTGGTATAAAAAGAAAATATTTTTTGTACGAATTTTCACAAAGCAGTTTTGTAATGCCAACTTGTTTTAGAGATTCCAAACAATACAAATTTAATCAAATAGTTTTACAAATTGAAAAAATGTTTATGAGCACTGAAGAATATGGCGCAATTATTGCTTATGCTATAAACGAGCTTAAAAAAGAAAAAAATATGTTTGTTATGAGTCGATTTTTTCAATCATTGGTTGAAATTGCAGGTCAACAGATAACAAATCAACTAACAATAAATTTTTTTAATTTTGTTGTTAGTTTTATTTTAGATTTTAACAACCTATTTGATCCGGACCAAATTGGAAGTAAACTTCATCCAATTTTAATTCATTATTTTAACTTTTTTCAATTAAATATTTTATCAGAAAAATTATTAAATTTTTGTTTTTTATTGTTAAATTTAATTGTTATATCTCAAGAAAATTACTGTTGCGGAGGATACTATGATGATGTGTGTACATTTTTAAAAACTAAATGCAAAATTTTTCTATGTAATATTTTTCTTCAATCATTTGACCCATGGCTTCAACTTTATGCATTTGTTGCATTAAAAAAAGTAAATGATAATAAAAATATATATCTTTTGTTAAAATCAATTGATTATGCGTTATTAAAGAAAAAAACTGAATATTTTTTAAATATGAACATTAATGAAGAAAACATATTTGAAAAAATTAAAAAAACAGGAAAAAACACAGTTTTGTTGCAATTATATTTTTGTGTTAATTTAGAATTTGGAACTCATGTTAAATTAAACAAAAAAGATTATTTTAAATATATAACAGTGCCAATTGAACAAAAAACAAACGACCATTTTTGTCAAATGAATCCAGATGATAAATACGAAAATATAAAAATGGATTTTTCTAATTTAATGGTTAGAAACGACGATGATCTTTTTAGAACTGTTCGTTCTAAATTTTCAATTAACCCAGGCAAATTTTACTTTGAAGTGACTATTTTGACGGCTGGTAAAATGAGAATTGGTTTGGCAGCCAAGCAAATGGCCATCATTGACACCGTTGGGAACAATCCATTCTCAGTTGGCATAGATGGTTTTGAGCGATGTGTGTGGATGAACAAAAAAAAGTACCATTTTACAAAATCTCAATCTCGTTGGTTGCCAGGTGATGTAATTGGAATTTATTTTGATTCGTACTCAAAAACAATAATTTTTGGAATTAATAATCAAGTTGTGGAACTTGATGGAAATCCGTTTAAAAACAATAGTTTAAAAAATATTGATAAACAAGCTTTATTTAAAAATGATCCTTTTGACTCGTTTATTTTTGCTTCACTGCCATGTCACGTTGCAGTTAGTTTAGGAATGTTTCAACAGTGTTATTTTAACTTTAGTTGTACGGTTATTCCTTCAGAATTTTTAAACAAACTTGAAATAGTTGGTCAAAACGTAAACATACAAAATTCGCTAGTGAGCTTTTTAGGTGGTGCTAACAAAGTGAATTCGTTTTTTGTTTTTGGTAATTTAATTCTATTTGTTTTATTTGATACTTTTTATTGTTTTTATTTATACAGATCGTCAAACAAGTTGTCAATCTTGTTCAACCACTGATTTAGTTTGTGTTACACAAACTAAATCAGTGATGAAAAGCCAAACAGCCACTGAACACTCATTTGAAGTTTACCAAACAGTAACTAAAGAAATTGATCTTGCATACAGCAAAATTTTGCTTGAATGTTTTGAAAATAATTTTTCTTTAAACTGGGATACATTTAATCAATGGTGCAATCAAATTAGCTTTTTTATTAGCGATTTAAATGATCCTGTTAATTTTTCAGAAAATTTTGCTAAAAAATTAAGTTTGATTCGAAAATGGTTACAAAAAGATAAACTAGCTGACACAAATGTCAAAAATCAATCATTGCCTTTAATAACTTTGCCATCTACAGTTCAAATAGGTAAAATAGCCAAATTAAAACTAGAGTCCAATTTTGAAACTTGGTTAAACAGTTTAAAAATTGTTCTTTGTGCTGAAGGCGTCGTAGAGGCTATTGAAAGTCCAATGAACGACGATGATCCACAAAATCTTATTGCCCGAGGTCGCATTCTGTTATCAGTTTCTTCAAAATTATTAACGCAAATTAAATCTTATCATGTAGCTTATTATATGTTGCAAACATTAAAAGAAAAATTTAAAATTTAACATTTAAAAACATTAGATTTTTTAGTTTATGAAAAATAGTTACAAACTGCACTTTTTAACCGGATTTACTTTTTGTTTTTAATTTAATCATACACTAAACATTTAAAACGTTAAATGTATAATGGCTATTTAAAAATAATTTTATAAACGTTTAATTCCGGTAGCGTTCAATTAAAAAGCAAAATAATAAAAAAGCCTTTTTTATATCCTTCACTATTTTAACTGGGTTTTAATGCAATTATCATTTTATAACCTATTGTTAGAAAGTTGATAAAACAACTTTTAACAGTTTTGACTAAAGTCCATTTTCAAATTTCGGAACTACAATGTTCTACAAAAACCTCGCAAAACACGTTAAGTTTTTAAATTCACCGACACTTTTTCTGAACATGCAGTTTTTATTTATAAACTTTATTTATTATACACTTTTTATTAAAAATTTGTATAAAAACAAACAAGTAGTTTATTCTGTTATAACGTTACACAAAAAACTACATTTGTCAAAATGAATGTAACTGCAATTATAAAATTGATTATACTACTATTTTTATTGATGTTTTATGCAAACAGCGCTTGTTATTGTTTTAAAAATTTTGTTAAAAACAAATCAGCTCATTTTGACTTAATATCAGAAGATGAGGGTAATAATAATAAACATTTTTGTTTTTAACAAAACTAAAATTTTTTTTATAGATGTTTCAACTGCTATTAACGCAATTTATGTAATTAACAACAATGTAAACATTGATAGTCCTTTGACAGACGCAGTAATTTGGAAAAGTTACCTTCTAGAACTTGAAACACAGTCTTCAATATTAATTGGAAAAGAACACACATTTAGTTTTTCAATAGCAAAACAAGTGGCCAAACTAATTCTTGACACTCTTGAGCTTCTAATGCCACTAAATCAAATTTGGAGTTCATTAGAACCATCTTTTGATAAAAAAGTTGCTGGTCAATGCTTTCTTGCCATTACTGAAATAACTTCAGTAATGATGAACATTCAAATTGAGCGAAGTAACGGAGTGTATCAATTTGAAAGTAAACATGATAATAACATCGTTTTTATTTCTCAACCGGTGACTCGTGATACAATAAGTAACT